AAGAAGAAGAAGAAGAAGAAGAAGAAGAAGAAGAAGAAGAAGAAGAAGAATATTAATAATAGGCATCATTTGTATAGCGCAAATCCCCGCTCAACAGCAAGCTTTATGCGCTTCACAATCTATACTTTTACCCCAGCAGACCTGACAGCATTCTGAAACAACCTCAGCTTCCTGTAAGCATACAGAGCAAGTAGTCATTTATAGGCGCTAAAACACTAACATAGTGACAAGATCTTTTGCTGTCTATGGCCGGGTACCCATTCCCACCTGGGTGAAGTGAGGAAAATTCGTGTAAAGTGCCTTTCCTAAGGACACAACGTCGGGCCCGCGGCTCGAACCCCCGAACCTGCAACCTCACGATTACGAGTCCGGTAGCCTACCCACTAGACCACCGACGCCGCAAGCCAATGTTTTAGAACTTTATGGTCTAGAGGTTTAGGAGACGGGCTGCTTCGACCCCGCCAGAGTGGTCTGTGAATAAGTCAGATGAAGTTCCCCTTGTGGGAATGGGACAGTTGAGAACTGTAGGTACTTATGTAATTAATAATGGTATAGGTTTAACGGCCCTATCATCACTGTAAGGTTATTTAAGAGACGGGACCCTCGAGTTTAACGTCTTTCTCCGAAAGAACCGAGCAAAGTGGGAAATTCGTGTAAAGTGCTTTTCCCAAGTCCACAAGTCGGACCGAGCTGAGGCTCGAACCCCCAAACCTGCATTCTCCCGATTACGGGTCCGGTAGTCTTGCCACTAGGCTACCGACGCCACCCTAGTACGTGTGGGTGTTTGTCTATCCGTTAGATAAGTCCTTATATCTGATTTGTCGTTTAGAGGAAAGATGTACACAGTTGTCCAAATGCTTCTTGGTCACTGAGGAACTGGGATTAGATAACCCCCCCCCCCCTCCAATTCACGCCGAACAGATCCTGTATTTTATGTTCAAACACAGAAAGTGATTGATGTAATTTGATTAACTGTAAACAAGAAAGCTATTAAGTCTTGAAAGTCCACTTAGGCGAAATAGAGCATGAATTTCCGTGAGACAGCAGAAAAATAAATATCAATAAGAGTAAAACATCAGCTGATCTACAAAGTGTGTGATTTATGGGGTGGTCAACATTACGAATATTTAGGAAAAAAGATAATAATAATATTATTTTTCTGGGATTCACCTTATTTCTACAAAGGACAACTGTCTTCACAAAACACCGAGTGTATTTATTTGATAGGATTGTGTTAATGAAGAGTCCTCTTGTTTCTGCCATGTTTGGCTCAACTGAGACGTTTCATCTTTTAAACATTAATTTCCCGTGGCATCCAAAGACATGTAAATGCAGCACATTGAAGCGAAGCAAAGATGACAATATTATCATGCGGAGTAAAAATCTCCTCAAGAGAGATGCACACAATCTTCTTTGATTGAGAACAGGGTCACAACTCTGGTTTTACGGCTTATTCACTGCCTTTGTTGTATTTATTGTCGTGTTGCTACGAGCATCAATCTAATGTTTAATTCTTTTTGCTTCCTGTTGTTTTAGAAGAAGCTTGAAATGATTGTTTTTCTACGTTTCGAAGATTAATAAAGATGTCATTGTTTTTCTGCTCTTAGATGAGTGGGAAGAGGGGAATAAGAGCTGAAGTGTGTGTATGTGTATGTGTGTGTGTGTGTGTGTGTGTGTG